TATATAAATGATATATGGAATATGCATAAATCCCCAAAATTAAATTAGTTGGATAAAAAGAAAAGATATACGCCATTGTAAAAGGTGATTTTCTGCTTTGCTTAACTTTTAATATCTCTTGCTCCTCACCCATCTCTTTTTCTCCGTACCACCGCGCTCTCATGGCTACAAGCCCTCGCCTGCTCCAAATCTTCCTTTCATCCTCGCTAATTTCTGTCTTCTCCACTGCCGCCGCCGCCTGCGCCACACCTGGCTGCCAGGTAATTCTGCACCTCATTTTCTCTCAGAATTCCTTTTTTTTTTCCCCATCAGACCTATTTTTTGACCGTCTTCGCAGCTCCTGAGCCCTTGCTCCGGAGCTGAAGAGTGCGCTCCCGGCCTCTACTGCGGCACCTGTCCGGCTTCTGGAAAGACCCGTCCCTCCTGCACCCGCGGCCAGGCCACTCATTCCACTGACATCGTGAGCTCTCTCTCCCCCCCCACCCCCCCGCCCCTCCGCTCATAGTCCGTGTTTGAAGAGAAATTATGGCTGACAGGTGAAAAACTTGCCTTTTAACAAGTACACGTGGTTGGTGACCCACAATTCCTTCTCTATTGTCACCGAGCCATCCTTTACCGGCGCGCAGAGAATCACCTTTTACAATCAAGAAGATAGCGTCACCAACCAGCTTCGGGTATTTTGTTTCCATTATGGATTGCGGCTGTTGATGAGAAATTTGATATGTGGAGGTGGTCGGGCATTTTTAGATGCCTGCTTCCCACCCTTTTAAATCTTCTTCTCATTTGCATCTCTCTTACCTCCTGTTTATCTTCATGCAAACGCTCATTCAAATCTACAAACGAGAGAGGTGAGGAGTGGAGGAGAGAGGAGAGGAAATGTATGACAAGCCATCCTTTTATTTCCTTGCAATTATCTTAAACCCATGCAACCTGAGGGGACATGAAATATGTGTTGTAGTTCTAGAAGAGGGGCTTCTAGAAGTTTTTGGTGGCGTGAAAAACATAATGTTATATTTTGGGAAATAATAATGGAGCACTATTTACTAGGAATGGTTTCCATTGAAGGGGATGTAAGGGTTTATGCTAACTGCTTTAAGTCATCATCTTAGCACAACGTAAATTGTTGGCATTGTAGCGACAAACTGTAAGAATATGAAGAGTAATTTTAGAATGTGTATTAGTTGTCTACAAAATTATATGGGGATAGGATTCAAAATCCTATTTACTAGCTTTGAGGATGAAACTTGTGGACTGTTGATTTAGGTTGGTTGATGCAAATCTGGGAGGAATTGATGCAAATCCGGAGGAAATATGGAGGCGGATATCAACGCAAAGGCTAATCCGGAAGGGTGATAATTTAATTCCATAGTCTGTGCAATCACGAAGGAGTTTTGGAAAGTTCTCGTTCTTGGAAGTTAATTACTTATATTATGTATTTTATTATGTTTAGTTTATTGTTTTCGTAATTTGAATTCCTAGTTATTGCTTTCCTAGTTTGATCGGAAAATAATATTTATTGTTTTCTTAATTTAATTTTCTAGTTATTACTTTCCCAGTTGAGATAAGAATACAATAATGTAATTTGTTATTTAATAGAGAAATGAAAAAAAAGTAGGCAGCTTTTCTTTGGTTATCAATTCAATTTTTTTTAAATTACCGTTGGTGAGTCTTCCAACACGGTAGAGTGATTCTGCATTAGTCATCTCTTGAGATCAATGAGATGTTGACCTTGAGGGAACGATTATGGAATTAAATTATCACCCTTCCGGATTTGTTTTTGCGTTGATATCCGCCTCCATATTTTCCTCCGGATCGGATTTGCCTTTGCGTTGATATCCTTCTCCATATTTCCTTCTGGATTTATATCAATTCCTCCCATATTTGCATCAATTGCCGGCTCTCCCGAAGAACTTGCTCCGACAAGTTTTGCTAAAGGTAAGCAACAAAAATATGTGGGTTTAAACGCTGGAGTTCTGATGCTTGCAACCAAACAGAGTCTGCATTTGGATGATTCTTCCATAGAACTAAGAACTTGTAATATCCTCCACGCCGAGATTAATAAACTGGTGATCTCCCTTGGGCTCGTATTTTTGGGGACACGAATAATTGTGTGTTGTTGAGCTATTATGTCTGTAGTTGTTGGCACTTGTTGTACCTCTTGCATTGGTGGCAGTTGTCTTTGCATCTCTTCGGCCATAATGCCTTGGAACTACTCTAGCATCTTCGTAAATTCGTTGGGGATAATACCGTCGTACTGTTTAGCCTCTCGGTTCACTACTAACAATACTATTTGTTCTTCCTTTAAAGCTTGAGTGAATTGTCGAATGGTTAGCACTGGAACGACTTCTATCTTTTATTGCTTCGGCTGTCCTTCAATTTTCTTGCCATTAAATTTAACGGATTAAGAATTGACATATCCGTCATACACTAACTTTCTGTCATAGAGCCAGGGTTGACCCAATAGCAAATGACAAACGGTCATGGGAACCACATCACACCATACCTCATCCGAATAACTTTTTCCTATTGTGAACCTCACTAAGCAACGATGTGTAACTAAAATGGGGTTAACTTCATTAACCCAACTTACTCGATAAGGGGTGGGGTGTTTTTCATTTTTCAAACTCAAGCGTTCCACTGCATCACTGGAAATCACGTTCATTTCACTCCCGTTGTCAATTATTACATTTAGCGCACGACCACCATGCTCCATTCGGGTATGAAAAATGTTAGTGCGCCTCTAATTAAGATCAACACCTTGGATCTTTTTCTTATTACCCGTCAAAACTCTGTGGATCACACAACAGGGCAAATCAGTTGCTCCCAAGTGCTCTACATCCTCGCCGTCGCTTGCTTCGTATTCTGTTTCTTCCCCTCCATCCACGGTGTCCACCAATCGAAGTTCTTTTTCACACACAAAGACCATTTTTTTTTATCTCGTAGGACATACTACCAAAAAATGTCCAAACTTTTTGCACTTATAGCATTGTGGCCAGTTGCCCATAAGTTTGGATTTTCCTCTCTGGTCACCCACCATGGCGTGTCTACCTTGGTCAGTGGGTAGAGATGGTTTCTGGTATTGCTGTGTTGATGCTAGTTCCTGTTTGGGATCCGTAGATGACGTGCGTTGACATGCGTCTTCCGTTGCGTCTTCCGTTGAAGAATCCCAATTGTTTTTCAACGCATAAAGCCAATTGGTAAACTTCATCAACATTTAGGATCCATGCTATTAGCATCTCTTTTCGCAACTCATTACGTAACCCCGAGCGATATCGAGCTAGAGATTGTTGTTCGTTTTCCACCACCTTGTTGCGGATAGTCAATTCATGGAAACAGTTTCTTTATTGGTTGACAGCCAATATTCCTTGTCTTAGTATCAGCATCTCTTCAAACATCATTTGCTCGTAGTCAATAGGTAAATATTTCTCCTTTAGCCTCTTCTCTATTTCTTCCCAATTAGACATTGGCGCTTGTTGAGTATGACGTGGTTGTTCTTCTACGCTACTCCACCAAGCTCGTGCATGTTCTTTTAATCTCATACAGACATAACATACTTTTCTATCTTCGTACATAGAGAACCAATCAAAATAATCCTCAATAACCGTCAATCAATCTTCAAAAGCATTGGGGTCTGATTTTTCAAGAAAGTCTGAAATATCGACCTTAATGCTTTTGGTTAGTTCATCACGAGGGTGACGGTCGAAGCCACGATTTTTCAAGAAAGTCTGAAATATCAACCTTCATGCTCTTGGTTAGTTCATCACGAGGGTGACGGCCGAAGCCACGCAGAGCGAGCTTCACGTTCACCTAATCCCCTTGAATCTTCATTCTCTTCATTATCGTCTATTTTGGCTTCTGGAGGAGGCCCACACATCCTTCTATTATGAGACACAAACTCATCTCGGGTTTGACACTCCTCCATGGTATCCAATTTATGAATGATCTGTTCTAGAACTGATGCCAGTTGGGTGATCTGTGTTTGTAGCTGTGCTAGATCAGTGCTTTGGTTTTGGTTATTTGATATATTGTAAGAGTTACCACTACAGGTTACTGACATGAAAATATTGACTTCCTTGAAGCAGGAAAAACCACTCTGATACCAAATTGGTGTCATTCCCTCAAGATCAATATCTTAGTGATCTCAAGAGATGACTAATGCAGAGTCACTCTACAGTTTTGGAAGACTCACCAACGGTAATTGAAAGAAAGTTAAATTGTCAACCAAAGGAAAGTTGTCTTCTTTTTTTTCATTACTCTATTAAATAGCAAATTACATTACTGTATTCTCATCCCAACTGGAAAATTAATAATTAGAAAATTAAATTAAGAAAGCAATAAATATTATTTATCCATCAAACTGGAAAAATAATAACTAGGAAATTAAATTAAGAAAGTGTGAGAAATCAGAGAAATAATTTTGTATTTCACTTCTTTGAATTGATAATACAAGGTATTATATAGGAGATTACAAGTAGAAAAAACTAGAAAACTATTTCACTAATTCCCTTAATTTAAGGGATTACAAATTAATTCTAATTCACTCAATTTAAGGGAATTAGAGTTAATTCTCCCAACCTTATTTCCATCTCGGACACATCTCGAAACTCTCCCTCAAGCTGAGGAATAGATGTCTTTCTTTCCCAGCTTGGATACAAGATCATGAAAACTTGAACTGTTCAGCCCCTTTGTTAGAACATCGGCTAATTGTCTTTCTGATGGAACATAGGACATACACACTAACCTTTCCTCCAGTTTTTCTTTGATGAAATGTCTATCAATTTCAATATGCTTTGTCCTTTCATGTTGTACAGGATTATGAGCTATATTAATAGCTGACTTGTTGTCACAGTAGAGCTTCATTGGATTCTCAAATCATCCAAAATGATTCTCAGCCACAGTAATTAACATAATCCTTGAGCAATAGCCCTGAACTCTGATTCTGCAGATGACCTTGCCACTGCATTCTGCTTCTTGCTCCTCTATGTCACTAGGTTACCTCCAAGGAAAGTACAATATCCTGTAGTTGATCTTCTATCCACTAGGGAGCCAGCATAGTCAGCGTCGGTGTAGGCTTCCAGAGTAAGAGTGTCATTCATTTTGAACAATATTCCTTTTCTCGGATTGCCTTTCAAGTAATGCAGTACCCTGTAGGCAGCTTGAAGATGAGGTTCTCTTGGATCATGCATGAATTAACTGATCATACTTACAGAATATGCTATGTCTGGTCGAGTGTGAGCAAGGTATATGAGTCTGCCAACCAATCTCTGGTACATTCTTTTATCCACAGCTGGTTCTTCTTTAGCTTCTTCCAACTTATAGTTTGAATCTATTGGAGTAGAGATTGGTTTACACCTAGTCTTCCCTGTTTCTGCCAATAAATCAATCACGTACTTCTGTTGAGATATGAAGATCCCCTGTGTGGAAGATGCCACCTCAAGACCGAGGAAGTACTTCAATTTCCCCAGTTCCTTCGTTTCAAATTCTTTTACTAGTCTCAGCTTCAATTCATGTTTCTCATCATTTTCAGTCACTATGATGTCGTCCACATAGACTAAAAGAGCAGTCACTCCCCCTACAGCTGAATGTTTAATGAAAAGAGTGTGGTCACCTTGGCCTTATTTATACCCAGATTACTTCATGACTCTTGCAAATCTGCCAAACCATGCTCTAGGAGATGTTTTAACCCATAAATGGCTTTTTTCAGCTTGCACACCTTGTTACCTGTGTCCCCTTTGTATCCCGGAGGGATGTTCATGTAGATTTTCTCATTTAGGTCACCATGAAGGAATGCATTCTTAATATCATACTGTAGCAGTTGCCAATTGAAGCGAGCAGCCAATGATAACAGGATTCTCACAGTGTTCATTTTTGCAACTGGAGCAAAGGTTTCTTGATAATCCACCCAGTAAATCTGAGTGTACCCTTTGACTACTAACCTTGCTTTATATCTTTCAAGGGATCCATCAACCTTGTACTTCAATGTAAATATCCACTTGCAATCAACAATGTTTTTTTCCTTTTGTTTGTCAACGATCTCCCATGTTTTATTCTTTTCTAATGCACTCAGTTCCTCTTTCATAGCGTCCCTCCATTCCCCTTTTGACAATGTCGCAGACACATTGTTAGGAATGTCAATGGTGTTCAAACTCACAATGAATCTTTTGTGGGCTGGTGATAGGCGCTTGAGAGATACATAGTGAGATAGTGGATAGAGTGGATTGGATTCTTGGACTTGTGTCAGTTCAGAAACGACCTTTCTCCTTGAATACACCTGAGGAATTCTTAGGAAATCGTGAGTGACACTGGTTGGAGTAGTAGATGATAAGGGTTCAGGATCAGGTGACTCGGATGTGATTGGTTCAGAGGACTCAGGTTTAGCTGGAACAGGAGGAGAGTTTGATTCAGATTCAACAACACGGGCTGACACATGTGGCAGGTCAAGGGTTTTAAGTGGTTCAAAGGGCTCACAAGTACTATCTTCCATTATGGAAATCTCCCCCTGAAGAGAGGACTTGGAAAAAAAAGGGTTTATTTTCTGTGAAAGTGACATCTGCAGAGATGTAAAATTTTATGGTAGAGTGGTTGTAACATTTATATCCCTTTTGAGTGGAGGAGTAACCTAGAAAAACACATTTGATGGCTCTGGGATCTAGCTTCCCTCTATGTTGTTTGTGGACATGAACAAAGGCAGTACACCCAAATACCCTGGGAGTGAGACCATTTGAGAATCTGAAGTGAGGGTAGAAGCTATTTAGGATCTCTATGGGGCTATTGTTTTCTAACACACGGGAGGGAGTCTATTGATCATGTGTGTGACAGTAGGAATGACTTCTCCCCAATAGGACTCAGGAACATTCCCTTGAAAGAGTAAGGCTCGGGTGGTGTTGAGTAAATGCCCATTCTTTTTTTCAGCTACCCCATTTTGTTGGGGTGTGTCTACACATGATGAGTCGTGGATAATCCCCTGTGATTGAAAATAAGGTGAAAGAATTTGATTGAAGTAATCTCCAGCGTTGTCAGTCCTAAAATTTTTTATTTTGACCCCAAATTGATTTGTTAGGTATAACTGAGCTAACATCAGATTTTTGTTTAAGGAGAAAAAGCCATGTAACCCGGGTGCAATCATCAATTAAGGATACAAACCAACGAGCCCCAGAAACATTAGGTATAGTGGAAGGACCTCACTATGAATTAGATGAAAAGGATGATAACTTCTTTTATTGCTAATAGGAAAAGATACACGGTTATGTTTTGCCAATTCACAAATGTCACAATGAAACTCAAAAATATTTAATCCTTGGAATAAATGAGGAAACATTATATTTAGAACCCTAAAAGATGGATGACCAAGGCATAAGTGATACAACCAAATGACATCTTTGTTTGAGGAACTAAGGAAAGATGAGGACAAATTGCTCCTGATTTTCTGGGATGGTTCAAGGTGGTAAAAACCGCTCCTTTCCTTAGCAAGTCCAATCCTCCTCCCCGAGTC